GCTCTACATTACATTCATGTAACTTTTATTGTTTTTGCAGTGCAGGCCAAAATGGCTCGCAGATGGGAGATTTTTTTCCGTCTTATGTGACACTTATTATTATATTTTGGCCAACTCACTCAATAACTACATAAATTATTATATATATGATATTATCATATATGAGCTATATTACTGTTAAGTTTCATTAAAATCCATTCAGTATTTTTTAGGTGAAAGAGTAACAAAGATCCATACAAACGTAAGATTGAAATTAAAAGCGAAAGTGGTTAATATACAACTTTAAAGCGTTGTAGATCCTAAACAATCATTTTTTTTTTTTTTTTTTTTTTTTTTATGCTAAATAGGCAATGCGTTTGACCACAATCTCACCTGATGGAAAGCGATGATGAGGCCTAGGATGGTACACGCCTGCCTAGAAGATGCCTGTTCACTCTGGCCTTGAAGATGACCAGGTTATATTGGTCCGGGAAAACAGACCTCGGCAAGGAGTTCCACTCCCTAGCCGTTCGTATAATGAAGGCCGAAGCAAATCGCTTCGTGCGAATAGGAGGAACTTCGACAACATAAGGGTGGAAGCCCTCGCCGCGCCTGGTCGTCCGGTGGTGGAAAGGGGAAGGGGGGATCAAATTATGTAATACCTCCGCACACTCTCCGAAATGTAACCGATAAAACACCGAAAGGCAAGCTACACGTCTTCGGTGGTCGAGGCTCTGAAGATTAGCCTCAACGAGAGCGTCATTGCCTATGAGTCTCTTCGCACGGTGTTCCACCGAGTCCAGTGCATCCAGCTGATACCGAGCAGATCCGTCCCAAAGGTGACAACAGTACTCCAAGCAGGAGCGAACTTGGGCTCGGTAAAGGTTAAGGAGCTGCTCAGATGTAAAATATCGCCTGACCTTAGAAAGTATTCCAAGTTTTCTGGCAGCGGTTTTAGCAATGGACTCGATGTAGTGACCGAAATTGAGGCTGGATGAGATGTCCATACCCAAGAGCTCGAGATGGTCTTTAACCGGCACGGAGACATTTCGGAAAGTCGGAGTCAGATGGAATGGACTCCGTTTCGTCGAGAAGAGACAGGCCTGTGTTTTAGAGGGATTGAATCCAACCAAGTTGGCTTCACCCCAGAGCGAAACAGCTTCCAGGGTTGCATTCACTCCCTCCACCATCGCCTCCCTTAATGATCGGACATCTGCATCAGACTTCACATCAGGCAGATATCTCCCCGAAACTGTGCTGTCATCTGCATACCCAAAGATACCAGGAGTTAGGAGCAGATCATTGATGTGCAGCAAGAATAGAGTTGCGGAGAGGACAGATCCCTGGGGGACACCGGCATCAATACCAAGCAAATCCGACGATGTGCCATTAATGACCACTCGTATCGATCTGCCCCCCAGAAAATCTGCAATCCAGTTGCAAAGTCCGACAGCGATTCCATATGAAGGAAGCTTGCCAATGAGACTTGCATGCCAGACCCTGTCAAAAGCCTTAGAAATATCAAGAGAAACGGCGAGAGCTTCGCCGCGTTTCTCTATGGCTTCACTCCATAAGTGGGTAGCATACACAAGAAGATCCCCAGTAGATCGCCCACGGCGGAAACCGAATTGGCAGTCACTGAGGAGATCGTTATCTTCGAGGTAAGCGAGGAGACGGTTGTTCAATACACGCTCCATAATCTTACAGAGTATGGAGGTGATTGCAATAGGTCGATAGTTGGCAGGGTCGGCACGACTACCCTTTTTGGGCACTGGTTGGACATTAGCAAGCTTCCAGGTTTTCGGAACTTGGCCAATCTCAAGGGATAAGCGATATAGGCGAGTCAGAATAGGAGACAACTCAGGGGCACAATTCCGCAGGACAATAGCTGGAATGCCATCGGGCCCACTGGCTTTATTCACGTCTAGAGTGCTTAGCGTTTTTAGGACCTCTTTCTGATGGATGCGAACTTCCAACATGGCAGAAGAACACTGAGGAAGCTTAGGTGGGTTTACGCCAGCAGCATCTAGCTGTGAGTTATTCGCAAATATAGAGGCAAACAAGTCAGCCTTCTCTTTGGAGGTGTGAGCCAGCGATCCGTCAGGTTTATTTAAAGGCGGCAGCGACGACCGGCAAAAATTGGCTTCGACTGTTTTGGCTAGGGACCAGAAAGCCTTGCTTCCGGATGGAAAGGAGGCTAATTTGGCTCCTATACGGCCAATGTGATCGAAGCGGGCCTTGCGGAGAACACCTTTACAGGACTTGGCGGCACTGTTAAAGGCTTTCTTCAGACTTCGAACATTTGGTGATTTGCGGGCTCGAGCATCCGCCCAGGAGCGATACGCAAAATGCTTAAGCGCCTCTGCTTTAGCACAGTCCGCGTCAAACCAAGGGCGGGCGCTAAACCGGCGTGGTACGTCAGAATATGGAATAAAGTACTCCATAGCCTGACGCACCACGTCAGCAATGGCATCCGCGCAGCAAGTCGGGTCGTCCGAAGAAAAGCAGGTGCGACGCCAAGGATAAGATGCAAAGAAATGCCGCATCTCATCCCAGTCTGCTGAACCATATCGCCAAACACGCCTAGTTCCGATAGGTTCCGGGTCGCTTGGAGAGTAGACTGATACGGACTTCACCAGACAGTGGTCGGAACTCCCTAGAGGAGACGAAATTACCACCTGGTAACGGTCCGGGTCTGTTGACAGCAGAAGGTCCAGGCAGTTTGGTGTGTGGCTATCAATATCGGGTACTCGTGTAGCGCCCTTCACAAGCTGGGAGAGACCTAGCGACATAGCAAATGTGTGCGCTAATCTCCCGGCATGGTCGGTTTTCTGGAACGGGAACAACCACTCATGGTGGTGCGCGTTAAAGTCCCCCAGAACGACTAGCTGCGCACTCGGGTACCTTTGCTGGGCTGTTTCAGCGGAGGCGCTGAGGTACTGAAAAAACCTGGTTGTCTCCATGTTCTCTGTGTGCGACCGATAAACACTGGCATAGAGTATTTGCTCTATACCTGTGTTCACCAGCACCCATAATGTAGAGAAACTGGGATCCTCAAGGTTGCGGAGACGTTGGCAGCAGATGTCATCACGAGCATACATCATATAAAATGAAAAATGGTGTTAGGAACCTAAACATGATTTTCGATTATCTAGACAGTGATACCCCACTCGACATATTTTGACAACTTATTTTTTTTACTTCGTCACAATATGGCGCCTAATTTTGCCGATATTGAATTTGGATTACTATCATATCTTTAGTAGCACTCCCATGATTGAGACGAATCGATTGATGTATGAATCATCAAAAACAGTCCAGGCGTTTGGTCTCTAGTGTGCCACAAAGGAACAAACATACATATATAGACTGTTAAACACATAACCCTGTCTGCGCGTCGCGCTTCGCGCTCTTGCATTGCGCAGCCGGGTAAAAAATAGTCCTTGATTTTGATGAATCCGTCATTTTTATCTTTCAAAGCATAACTATATTTTTAAAGCGATGGTTTGCAGTAAATTTAAAGTAAATTATAAAGAATGATGCAGGCCTTTTTTAAGTTTGCGAGTTTATCTTAAAGACCAATGATACGCAAAAAATTACGACCAATACGGTTGACTGACTGTCTGGATTCTGCTTAGTTAAACATAATAATCTTGCTTCAGTGATATTTAAATTTTAATTGTTTTGCTTTTTATCATTGTTCATTTTACTAAAAGACAATAAGACCAGTCTAATAAGTCAAAAAAATTGCATAGCCTCGGAATGTGGGGTAACAAACTGAAAAATTTCAGAGTCTTTCATAAAGTGTCAAAAGTCACAATGGTTGGGGTGTAATGGGGGTAAGGCAGCTGAGATATGCGAGGTGAGAATCACAAAAATTACTAGAATATTTTTGTGGCGAAACGTAACGCGTGAAGCAGGGCTTCAAGCTCCAAGTTTTTCTTGCAGTCTTCTTCCATTTGATTCCTAAGAAAAAGTGTAAGAACAATTTTTATAGATAAGTGCATGATTAAATTTTTGTCTCACCTATTTTATGATAAAATTACCAATACGTATAATGCACCGACCTAAAAAAATAACAAACACGCCATATCTTTCGCATGTATGATATGATGAAAAAAAATAAAGGAAGTATTGATGAAGAGCTAGTAGAGCAATTGCCAGTAGGGTAATTCTGTAAAATAAAATCTCACTTCCGAGTTCGATGGCTCCATTTTAGACATTCGATAGATATGCGTTATGCCATTACACTGCTAAATGACACAATTACTGTGGAAACAGCCGGCAAAAGATATTTGACAATTGTCAAAAGTACGCAAAAATGTGATCGTAAGCGAGATTGTATCTTATGCTGCGTTTCATCTAGTGCTCAGGACAGTTCCGATAGAGCAATCATTTGTTCACTCGGTAAATGGAATGCTATAAACAATTATGCTTTGTTTGTTTCTATTGACTGAGTAAGAGAGCATTTGTTCCCTGAGTCCAGTCAAACATCGTTGTACGCGCTCGTTCTGATGTTTCCATTTACCGAGCCAGCAAATGTTTGCTCGGCGAGAACTGTTATTAACTTAAATGGAGACGCAGCATGACAAAATCGACGTGCAGCTTTCTTGACCATTCAACGCAGACGTAGACGACACTACCAGTCTCACAATTGCATTATCTTTATATATATAATTCTTCTGTGAGTGTGTATGTCACTGAACTTCTCTTAAACGACTGGACCGATTTTGATGAAATTTTTTGTGTGTGTTCAAGGGGATCTGAGAATGGTTTAGATTCACAATTTTGTCCGCTGGACAACCCCTATTTTTTTAGGGCGGTACGAATTTCGCTGGGTCAGCTAGTATACATATAAATATTGTACTAACAATGAACGACACTACTTTTTATACGGTTTCACATCCTGATTAACTTCAATTTAGACATGTCAATGACAGCATGCCAATTCATTTATTTAATTAATATTTGTTATGTCAGGCCTTCCAATTCGGTTGTTTAATGAATACTTGTTATTTCAGGTCCTATAATGAAGTTCTTAAATATTACAAGAAATCTGAGAGAGCTGATCTAAACGGTTTAGAGAACCGATCCTATAGAAATAAAAAAGGAGATATGCCCGTGGAGTTTGTTCCAAAGAGGTAAAGCTCAAATATTTTCTTAGTAACAATATTTACTCAATCAATACAAATCACTAACCAGTTATTCAAATTGTCACTAAAACCGTTATATTTTCAGAACCAAACTTATAAAGGCGTTTTTAAAAGCTGGAAGAATATTGGGATATCCAACAGTAGACTACAACTCGCCCAATGAGCTCGGATTTGGATTTGTACAATCAACTATTCAAAAAGGCCATCGTCAGAGTGCTGCCAAAGTATTTTTATATCCCCATAAAAGGAGGAGAAATCTGCATATTATGCCTTCATCGAGAGCTACTAAAGTTCTCATCGATCCCCAATCTAAATCTGCCTATGGGGTAGAATTTGTTCATAAAGGCGTTAAATACACTTCCCGTGTACGCAAAGAGGTTATACTATCAGCAGGACCTATCGCCTCACCGCAACTCTTGATGTTATCAGGTGTTGGGCCAAAAAAGCATCTAAATTCTTTGGGGATTCCAGTAATTAGTGATCTCCCGGTAGGAAAAACTCTGTACGACCATATAGGTTTCCCAGCTACTATTTTTACTTTGAACACAACCCGTGTGAGTTTAAACGAAGGTAGAGCTATGAATATAAGTTATCTTTTTGATTGGTTACTGAATGGCGACGGCGACCTATCCTCTCCGGGTGGAGTGGAAGGAATTGGATATATCAAAACTACCGTTTCCAATGATCCAGATCCAGTACCAGATATTGAATTGATTAGTATTGGTGGCTCTATAGTTGTTGACGGCGGACCCAGTGGCAGCCGAGCAGTGCGTAGAGGCGTGAAAATTTCTGACTCGGTTTTCAATCAAGCCTTTGGAGCGATAGATAATACAGAAACATGGAGCGCAGTCCCCATGTTACTGCACCCAAAATCCTTTGGTTATATAGAATTGAGAGACACGAACCCTTTCAGTCATCCCCGTATGTATGGAAATTACCTAACTGATCCGCACGATGTGGCAACTATCGTTGCATCGATTCGATTTATACAAAAGTTAACGGCAACAGAACCATTTCAAAGGTTCGGTGCAAAGATACACAGAGCCGAATTCCCGAAATGTCGTGACACTGTCTTTGATTCTGATGTTTATTGGGAATGTGCAGTGAGGACATTAACTATAACTCTACATCACCAAGTAGCAACATGTCGTATGGGACCACCTGGAGATCCACAGGCCGTAGTGGACCCGGAGCTTCGAGTCTATGGTGTAAATAATCTGCGGGTAGTTGACTCGAGCGTAATACCCAGAACAATTTCTGCTCACACACACGCGCCAGCGGTTATGATAGGCGAAAAGGCTTCAGATATGATTAAACACACATGGAACATATCGTGAAGTAAGGACTGAATGTATACGCACTAATTTAAATATGTAATTATAATAAGTAGCTGCTCAATTACCTTTATTATAGTAAGTTTTAATACGAGAATATGACAGAATACTTTTTTTCTTTATTTCAACATCCACAAATATAGCAAATTACTTAACTATTTCTATCATGACTACCCCATTTTTTTACGACGATATAAACAAATGAAGGCCAGAGGAAAAGAAGGAGCTCATTAGCATTGTTAATGTTATGAATAATCAAATATGTAACCGAAATCACAGTTCGGTCCATGCAGCTGAAACGTGCTTCTACCTTAACACTGCAATTTAAGCCACATCCAGAATAGTCGATGAACATAAAAATATTTCTGTTCAAAAACAAACCAGTCGTATGTAATCCGTCATATAAATATTATACAGATTACTACAAAGCTTTCAATTAACAAATGGAGTGTTCCACTTTACTGTACGCTACTTATTAACTTTAATGAAAGCCAAGGCCAATCGACTGGTCACTTGTGTCAAAACCAGCTCATACTGCAATAATAATGTAATGCAATAATACCATTAATAAAATACAAGTGACTGCACAAATTGTTTTAAAATAACTAATGAGTTACGCAATTTATGAATGAGATAAGTACTCGTTGGGTACTCACACATAACTGACATACTTACCATAATAGCAAGTGATTGATAAACAGTGTCTCAATGAGAATAAAGTAAAAAGGCTGTTATTTTTAATTACAAGGGGTGGCAAACAACTGTTGGGCCTCGTCCTAATTGGTAACGATCGGACGATGACAAGATACGATCTCATCCTGCAATGAAAATAATGTACCTGTGCTAGTGCGACGGCTTACGAGCTGTATTCGAACATTCTCAATAAATCTTTATGTTTGAACTGATGGCACGACGAGGTCGCATCGGGTCATCATACAGTCATTTGCCAATTAGGACAACGCCTAATTAATTGCTGATGTATATGCCCCGGTCTAATGCTTATCGACCACTCGCTATTATTTCCGCGTCGCATGAATCTGAAACTAGCAAACATTGTAGCAGACACATCCAGCGCGGGAGCGTCACAAACGGTAAATGTATTTCTGGCAACTGTTATGGTTTGTCTTATTTATTTAAAAGTAAAAGAAAGTAATCAAGTTGTTTTCCAGAGGATAACTAACGCTATTTTCAAGTATCGGCAAGGTGAGCGAAAAAGATGATAGCAATACAATATTTTTAATGCGATAGTTTGCAGTAAATTGAGATTCAATGATACTGAATGATGCAAGCTTTTCTAATTTTGTGTTTTAAAAACAACAAAGCTGTCTCAAGATGCAAAAACATTAAAACACCACTGAGACTCGATTATTATGTAAAAATAGCTGAATCGATACCCAAATTATGAATAAAATTGGTTCAATTGGTAAACGCTGTCATTAATCACATTCTGTGACTCTGTGCAAATTTGATATAACTAATAGCCTTGGATAAAACAAGTTTCAACGGTATAGATGCACTGGTTTATTTATTTATTGACGTTTCGCATCCTTTTCAGGAGTCATCAGTGCATCTATACCGTTGAAACTTGTTTTATTTAATGAGTGGTGTGCGCGAAAACCTAAGAAACAAATATATATTTGTTTCTTAGGTTTAAGTCTTGAGTTTTCTTTTCTGGATCGAAATTAACAGACTAGCTGGCGCCCGCGACTTCTTTTGCGTAGATTAATCAATTGGTTTTCTGTCCATATTTTCGTGCCCTTTTGCAAATTTAGACGACGAAATTTAGCTTTTGTCCCAAATTTGCAAATGAGTTTTGTTATTTATGTGTAAAAAATGGCATTTAAAATAGTACTAGTGACCTGCCCTCACAGTCAAAAAAACAGCTGACCCATTCTAGCCTTATTAAATGTTCTCTAGTTGACTGGGAGAGAATGCCTATAGGCATTAAGTCCGTCTTTTGTACATTTGTGCAATTAAGTTGAAATAAATAAATAAATGGAATAAATACTAGAATTGGTCCAAACTACAAACAAATCAAAATACTTAATCAGTTTATTAGCTCTATGCTGCATTGAAATATTGACAGAATCATACTCTGAGAATACACAAAATAGCAACTGTTAAAACAACATAACAGGAAGTGAGACAATTGCCAAGATCTAATTTCAAAAGTAAAACTCTGATATGCTTGTTTATCAATGCAAAAAACATAATTTTGACATATTCAAGTATTCTTTTAACATTTATATCTGTGATAGATAAACAAGAAAGATAAGATATTAAATAAACACACTTTATCAAATGTTAGAAAGCACTTTTATATGAATTACACTAAAATAACTAACATAATAGGTAATAACTCATAGAATGACAGGAATTAATTATAGATAACAATGTTACATGCTTTCAAGACACAAATATTTTCATATTTAATAATTAAACGTCAGTAAAGCTACCAAAAAAAAAATCAAACGAAAAGGTACATCATTATAACTATTAGGACATAAAAGCATTTTTGCAGATCAGAATTTTTAACAAACTTCAAGAAAAGATAGGTCAAGCCTATGAATTGGTCAGATGATTATTTCTAGTAAAAAAATTCTTTAGATAAAAAGCCAAGCAGTTTAAAGCATATAAAAAATATTTGAATAATAATTTAAGTGAGCTATTATGGTAAAAACAGATGTATGTATTTTATGTACTATAGCAGCTTAAAACTTAGAATTCAGTGTAGGTTGAATTAATATCAGATTTGGATTTTTAGACTAAGGCAAAAGAAAACACATATAAACCCATGCTTCCATTACAGCACTCATATACTTAAAGGAAACTTGGTTTATATTTGGGTATTCAAGAACTAATAAAAACTGTGTCAATTCACCCCACAGACCAACTTACAGCCTCATATCATGTGCTAAATCAGTACAGTGAATTGCCTGGCAGGACAGTTTGACAAAAAATAAAAACGGGCCTGCATTATTCCACTAAAATCAGAAGCCATAATCTCAAAACTTTACAACCCATTTGTATATCTTTCTATTTCATCTCCAAAACATTTCCTAAATTTTTTACCCAATAACACTGTTTTAGAGTAAAAAAGTAAGGATTTTTGGAGTTAAGGGAATAATTGTCACAATTATGTACAACAAAGTTGTTGGCTCAACCTTGCCAAACATTGCATTTTTAATGTACTTCAAGTATTATAAAAATACCACATATTATTTAAAAGCCAAGTTATAGTTAACAATGACTGTAAGAGCAGAAGTAGTAATCTGAGCAAAGCAACACTAAAGGTGTTGTTACTTTATAAATAACATGGAGCATTTATTACTATTCTGTAAAATTCTTGGTGCTATGCAGTTACTTTATAAGCTTATGAGTTCATAAGCATAGTTATGTTCAGTACTGTTATATTGTTTAGCCCGATTTCTAAAAAGCTCAAAATATATGGTTTAGCCTAATTTTTAAAAAGCTCAAAATATATGATATTAGAGATTTGATTTCCTCTAAGCAATAATGGTAATAATTGTATTGATGAGCATAAACTAGTTTACCTAAATTATTCATTAGCCCAAAATTTTATAATAATTAAATATTTTTATAATTTTAGAGGATAGCAACAACCCATATAAAGCACCGTATAATTGCACAGTTGTAAGTTTTTTATTAACTTATCTCTAAAAAATTTAATGAATCATTACTATTCTGATAAGAAACATGTAAACATAACGCGTTTTGTTTGTTCAAGAGAACTTTTAGTTTCCATTCTATTTCACCTTGAAACTAAATTTAGATTACTTAGCTTAATATAAATTACGTCTAACACGATCTCTATTCAAGAGCGAAATAAAAATAAGGAGGAAAAGTTAATAAACACAATAAATACCTGAAACTATCAGCGCTTCGTTAGGACCGACGGTATGAATATTTCCCATGGTAAAGATATTAACACAATTCACAAAACCAATTCTTATCACGTAGTTTTCTGATAAATCTGTAATAAATCGATAATAATTCACCAACAACACAATACTTTTAACGAGGCGCCGCCGCCACTCAAAACATTAAATAGACACAGATAAAATTTGACATTTCCATGCTTCTATATTGACCAATGAAATACGAACATTTGACGCAGTCGATATTTCATTGGACGAAATATTTAAACAGTCAATCTGACAATCAAAATAACCAATGAGAATCAGAATGCTGTATTCTGTTATTTTAGGTTCAGAAAAGGGCGTTTCCAAATTTTGTAGAACATAGAATGAATGAAACGTAGTAACTATAAATAATCTGTGCTCTAGCGACGATTACACTTCTCTACATCTAGTGCACTAGTAACTAGTGCACCGCCTAGTGCACTACGGTACTATACTACGACCAACATCTTCTTCGTACTGTAGTACTAGGGTTACCAACTTTTTTTCTATCAAATATAGAAGATGGCAAAAAATGGAAAAAATATAGTACGTGGTAATTTTTTTTTATTATTTTTTATAGTTAGGTCCAATTTGTAATTAATATATTTTTGCTGCTATATGCCTTAATAGTAAGTTTTTATTTTTAAAAAAGCTTTTACTGACTAAAGTATGCTTTAAACAAAGTAAGTATAGTAGTTTCGCCTACCTACTACATATTTTTTTAGAAATATAATATTTGATGCCCTAATATAGTAGGCTACTGGTGTCGACTCTGGCGTGGTTATCTAAACTTAAAACTAAATTTAACATCAGTCTCTCCTTTATTTTTTTTTATAGAGAATGACAAGGATGCATTGGTGTCGATTCCGGCGTGATTCTCTAAACTTAAAACTAAATTTAACATCAGTCTCTCCTTTTCATTCTGTATAGAGAATGACAAGGATACACTGGTGTCAAATTTAAGTTTAGGTTTAGAGAATCATGTCAGAATTGACACCACTGTTGTCAAATTTAAGTTTAGCTTTAGGGAATCATGTCAGAATCGACATCATTGTATTATATAGTAGGGTTGGCAACGTATGTAGTACCCTGGCGAAATAAGAACTAATGTTAGGAAGGTGTTAATAACCCTTTTAAGTTATTAGGATGGTGTAAATCAACCTATTATTTTTCTTTGCAAATGACAGAACATTTCTATTCTGTGTATTCTATTAGAGGGGTAGCTTTAGTTTTCTATGTGACAGTTTTGGTTACACTGGCTCGGTCTCTGAATAAGGATCATATGGAAAAGACACCAAAACATATACATACGTAGTTACATTGTAATTTGGTATAGAAATTACAAAAATAGTGTTGTCTCTTTTTTACATTCCTATTGATGGATATGAAAAAGACACCAGCACTCTATTTCGCAATATTCGCCACAATAGTGACATTGGTGTCGATTCTGGCGTGATTCTCTAAACTTAAAACTAAATTTAACATCAGTCTCTCCTTTTCATTCTGTATACAGAATGACAAGGATACACTGTTGTCAAATTTAAGTTTAGATTTAGAGAATCGTGCTAGAATCGACACCAATATTTAACTAATAACAATTGTGTTCGTGTCGCCATTTTAGCTCCCCATAAGTAGTCTGTGGTTCCCTAGTTTGTTTACAAATAAACTCAAAGTTGTCGACGTGATTCTTAATGGAGGTATTTAACCGAGAAAATACATAATTAAATTATGGATTTATACATAAATGTGAATTTATGTATAATTACCAAAATATAAATAGAATAAATAGGTTTCAAAAATTGTTTGCAGTGATACCATAGCTCCTTAGCGGACTTTACTACATTTTCCATACATCCTGAAAAGGATGCGAAGCGTCAAAAATATAGCGAAAAAGATTAAAAAAGCATTTATACTCGTTCAAAACTATTTTCATTAAATGAGTGGTGTGCGTGAAAACTTAGAAACAAATATATTTTGTTTTGTTTTTTGTTTCAGGCTTGTCAACCATCCTGCTCAAATAAATCTCATACATCCGTATATACTTAGACTGGCCTAGAAATGGTTAGCTGTTTAGTCATTATTATTATTATAATATACACACAAAAATTATCTCACGAGCGATAAATCCGCCTGGCCGTAATTATTACCTTTAGCATGTTTTCGAAGTTATATTAAACTTGTCACCTCAAAAGGACTATTGAAGTGAACCTTGGACAATGTGTCTTTAAAGTATATACTTGCTCATTTATTTTGAAACTTGTTTACTGGATATTTCGTGGCTTTTGTATATGTATTGTTTCCTATTTTACATTATGTTATGGAAGTTGACCTCAATAAATGTGTATAATTTTGATGTCAGCTTTCAATTTAACAACACTGTATGAAATAAGACAGGGAGAAAAAAGCAGCCTATGTTTCTTGCCGGTTCTTCTCGGTATACAAGGTCTCCCGCCGTAGATTTGCGAACTGACGGCGCGGCGTAGCTTTCGACATTCATGTGTGTTTGTAAAAGCCTAAACGGAATAAATGATATTGAGTTTTTGAATTTTAACATCTGAAATAAAAGTTTATAGTTAAGACTTGAATTTTATTTCAAATAATATATCATCATTGAGTTATCTTAAGTTTAATATTGTAATAATGATTTATTAAAGTTAATAAATACCAGCCTTTATCATAATGTGCACATGCAGACGAATGACTAAAAGGTTTGTGAAATTTACTAAGCCATTTCTTATTGCTGTCCTTGTATTTAATAACAGTGGTAGAATTAATTTACGTTGAATAAAATTATCTCCCATTTTTTCCGAAATTCAAAAAGATTCTTCTCTCCCTTCAACTCTTTTCTCCAGTATATTTATGTGACCTTATATGCTTTGACCACAGCAAAAAAATAACATCGATAAAAAAGTATCGACTAAAGATATTCTACGTCCGCCATGTTTGCTCCCCGATTTGTTTATATAATATGTAAACACGCGAAGACATGTTTGTGTCATTTAAATGTAATATCATCCTTATTCAGAGGGCTCGGTACTGAAACAAAATGATGCCACTTCTTTCTACTCTTTTTTTCTGTTCTGTGAGTTTAGTAACTGTTCAAAACGGCATGTATATAGCCAGCCTTATTATTTTTAAGTTCAGTGTTACATACTTCAGAGTTTTCCCCGTTTAGTAGGAAATTGCAAGCTGAGATTATATCACTTTTAATTTTATAGGGAGTTATTTTTGGAGTTTTTTATTTGAGTGGCTTTATTATTGCATGATTTTAGATATAAAATAGCAACAACTTAAAAACTACCTAATAGTTATTTTTAATTTAAATTCACGCTATAAAAACTACCATCTTGAGCACAAGCTAGCCGTTTTTTTCGTTAGGTAAAGTAGAGTAAGGTAAATGTACTGAGCGATGCTCACATAAAATTTATAAATCTCTAGAAAGAAGGAAAGTGATATTGCAGCCAAAACATCTGTACTAATATTATGCTAAAATACAAGATTGCAATCCTAATTCGGCAGTAGAAAAGCTAAACGGTTTTTAAACTTGTAGATCGCATTTTCTTTTCTCTCTCTACAAACGGCTGAGCTGTATTGTTGTGCTTTTTTTGATAATAAATGGCGAATCTTTATATTTATGAAAAGCCGTGATTTTTCGGAAGGAAATAATTTTATTTTGTTACAAATGAAAACTGTTGCCGTAGAATTTGGTAGCTGAATTTGAACTATTTGTGTTCTTTTTAAAAGTATCAAAGGCATTGTTATATCTTTTTAACACAGAATATCAGCAATATTGTTATATTGAGTGCACATGCAGCGTGTTTGTGACTCTGTAGTCTAATTGTGTGCATGACCTAATTTCAGCGGTACACTTTTGAGGGCCGTATCTTCCCTTTTTGTTTTAATCTAAGACTTGTATACTTATTTATAGTGAGTAAAGTTTTTTACACATAATCATACTTATTCTGTTCTTAATAAAGATTATTATTATATTTTATTGCAGCCAAAACACTAACTATAGGCGGAACGAACGCTTCATCTAGTCATCAGTTCCATTTCTGTCTATGGGTAAAGCAATGGAAAAATTAAACGCGCGGCTTTTGGGCTAAATAATTTTTGAAGTTGGTAACATTAACTTAGTCTGTGTAGTTGGTGGAGCTTAATGGCGGTGATGAAGTGATTGTGTGTGATTGTTTTCAGGTCAAAAACTAATGCTGATGCGCTTTAGTAAAATTTTAAACACAGTCATTAATTGTAAGTATCTATGAAAAACAGTAATATGTCTTTTAAATACTATTATTTTCCGAAACAACTGTAGAATCTACAATCCGATCAGCAATTTGTTACCCATACACATCATACTACTTGTAGATTTACCGTTGTGATTTATACTACGAGAATGTCGGAAACTAGTGATCTCGATCGTCAAATAGAGCAGTTAAAAAGATGCGAGATCATAATGGAGGCTGAGGTAAAAGCGCTATGCGCTAAGGCCCGCGAGATTCTCGTTGAAGAGAGTAACGTACAACGCGTGGATTCTCCTGTCACGGTAATTGCACATTTATTTCTACTTTTATGTTATATTCTTGTGTCTACGTATATATGTACTAATTGCGGCTTACTAATATTTAGAAATAATTGTATTGGATTATAGATAACATGACTTCCATTTGACAATGTTCTTTAGACAATAGTTGGGATTCCTCTATGCTGCTAGAAAGCAATGATAGCTTTAAGATGGTATTAACTTATGAACTGTATTTTTTTTTATAATATTGCTCTTTAATAATTTCTCTGGGAGCTTGATTGCATATTTGTATTGTGTTAGGTTGTAAGTAAAAATGTATTATTTTTATTTGATTAAGTAATGTGTGGAAATTATTATGAGTGCAGTTTGATTTAACACAAAACACAATCAATCATGGGAAGCAACAAATGTTTACTACAAATGAGCGTATATAGCAGTGGGGCCAGGTGGGCTGGCCCACCTCAGGATAGTTTAGTGCCAACTCCAGGATGTTGGGCTACCGATTGAAATTCTATAATACTGATAACTAACTTCAGGCGACTCTTCAAATTTATAGACTTAATATTATAAAGATTGTAGCCATAACTCCTGCAAGTATTATTATTTATTTTTCAAAGAAGGCTGTTATTGTTAGTACTAAATTTGCTACAATTTGAAACTGCAATTAGCTTTATATTCCCAATAGTTTCCTAAATAAGGCTTTTCAAAATGTTAGTCCAGTAAATTTATACTCAGATTCTGATTCAATTTTTTGATTTTGATTTTGCAAAATTGTTTATGAAGTTGGCCAAATGAAAAAAAATCTAAGTTTTGTGACCTCGCACTGGTCGCAATTATGTCAAAAATCAGTAAAACAGCTAAAAGCTCAGGTAATTTTATAAAATTTTGGCTAGCATAACCCTAATGTACTGGTTTTTGATAGAACATTTTTAGAATGTTTTCTAAGTACTTGATACTAAATTTTCTATAATATGAAACTAGAACTATCCCTGTTGACTAAATATTTTCTGAGATAGTTTGTATAGTTTGTACATAATTTTTTCAAACTTCCTTTTTTTATGATATTTTAGACGTCACTCGAACATTTCTTGCTGGTTGTAGTTCCTATTACCTCTAGTGTTGCATTATAAACTTTGAAAGGCTCTATTTCAGAAACTATTGAGTTTATAGAAACAATTCTAGTCTCATATTGTAGTATAGACAATTTTAAAAGCGGTTTACAAAGTACTATAAAAAACTAGTATTTTAGGATTGTAATCGCCAAAGGCTGAAAAAAGCAGACATTTTTCAGATTTTAAGATTTTTGACAAAGTTGCGTTCTGCGATTGAGGTATATGGGGAACTTGGATTAAACAAGTTTGCATAAATTCAGAACTGATACTGGATTTGATGCAAGCTCTGAGTATAAATTTGATAAACTAAACTTTGAAAGGCTACTGAACTGAACTAAAAATTTGGAGTTATTTCAGAAACTTTTGGGTCTACAGACACAATTTCAGTTTCAGCAAAGGACGGTTCAAGAGTGGTAGTCAGTTTCTGGCAGCGATGGAACATATATCATTTGAAAGCTTGTTTTATGTAATAACATGGACATATAATATTAGTTTTTTAGATCCCCCATTAATTTTAAATTGTGTTTGAAAACCGAACAATTTTAAGGTTTCTGGCCACCCAGTCATAATTCACGTCATATTTTGAGTCTCTAATAACTTATATCACTACTTCAAATATCAATCCGGCCAGTCATGCATGATATTCATGTAATCATGGAGAACTTATTATAATTGCCAAATTTTTGGCTCTGTCTATTTTCTACATGGGTGTGTTTGGTTGAGGTCACAGACTTGAATTATTAATTGGGTCTTCATCATGAACAAGTCTGCAAAAAATTGGAACGAACTGACATGACCCATACTCTGACTTTACTGGACTATTCATATTTTATGTAAAGTTATTTATGAGTTATATGTATATGATACTAATCACACTTGCTCACTGACTGTACATACATTGAGTGTCGACTTTGCGTTATCGTATCGGCCATGCCATGTAAAGGGCTAAGGCCCCCCCTGAAAAATAACCCTAGAGACTCCAATGACTACATAGAACTAAGAAACCTCTGTGTTCTGTAGTTTTTTTTTTTTTTTCATAATTTTTTTTTTTTTACTACATGTAACTTTCACATCACTTGTCTACACTACAAAGAATTGATTTGAATTGCTAACAGTCAGTGCTTCTGGTGGTGCCTAGTAGCTATAACTATCAACAAGTGATTTTACATTAGTTCTACATTGGTAGAAGCTGTGCTGTGCTCATGATGAAGACCTATTAATAGATCATACACAACCAGTAGTTACGTTCACACCATATATCCTTAGAGGTGTTTTCAGCATCAATGGTAATATTTGGAGTGTATGAAAATGAGTAATGTTATTACTTCCATAACCACAACTCAACAACACCACAATTTTGTATAGCTTAGTGGCAAGAAGCTGTTTGGAAACAATACTGACAGATTGCCAGCCTAATAGCTAATAGATAAGTAGGGTAGATATTAGCACAACATAAAAGTCAGAACTCATTTATTTCAGGTGTGTGGAGATATCCATGGCCAGTTTTATGATCTGAAAGAATTATTTAAAGTAGGTGGTGATGTTCCTGAAACAAATTACCTTTTCATGGGAGATTTTGTTGACCGAGGGTTCTATTCTGTGGAAACATTCTTACTACTGTTAGCATTAAAAGTGAGTACCTGCAAGTTTCTTACCCTGCCATGAAAATTATCTTTAGTTTTTTTTTATATAGAAATATTGAAGTTAATGGTTGTAAATAAAAATCTTGACAGATAATGTTTATTTTGTGTAATATTTAGTGAAGGTGGCCCTAAAATAGTTTCTATTTTGTCACATTAGAACATCAACCCTCCTTCAATGTTTTTTCTATGTAGTTTATTCCGATTCAGACAATGGCGTAACACATATAACGCTTCTTCTAGAGCTGCAACACTTGTAATTTGACTTATTGCATAAAAAAATATTACAAGCCCTTTTACATTTTTTGCAAGAAATCTTAATTTTTTAAGAGCCTACTTTACCCTCTTAGAAATAATTTTGACTATTTTTGATACAAGTAAAAAATTGTTTTACCTTTCTTATTGTAAGTTAAAATAGAATATTCAAATATATTCTTAAATTATATAATTGCTTAAATTATATTATCCATTTTTTCTACTCTAACATTCTACAGCACCTTGTTTACAGTAAAAATACTAAAATGCACAACTTCAAACGCCTAAATCTATGAATAAAATGGAATAAACTAGCTGAAATTGATTGCTACCTTATCAGGGTAATAACTGCAGCAGCGGAATTTTGTGAAAGGGCTCTTAAATTATCAACATGTGCTTAAAATGCAACTTAAAGGGCTTCTGTGTCATGCGCCTGTTTTATATGGTCTCGAACAATCAAGCTCAAACTATGTCATTTAATTTTAAAATTTTGCAAGACTTAATTCTCCTTTTGTAATCATCAGGTCCGCTATCCTGACCGAATAACACTTATACGTGGCAACCATGAGTCAAGACAAATCACACAAGTATATGGGTTTTATGATGAATGCCTCAGGAAATATGGGTCAATTACAGTTTGGAGGTAATGTTTAAATGTTACTTTTAAATAATGATTAATTTAATATTATTGTAAATTCTTACATTTCACTGGATAAAACACTCGTCCTAATGGGTAATAATTACATTTTTGAAGGGTAGTATATGATTCAGGGGCTAATCATCTAATTTTATCTCTTTTCACTTTCTCTTCAAAGCTTTAGAAAAAGTATGAAAGAGATAGCAGAATTCATAAAAGATTATTATTCAACCCCTATATGAATAAGCATAAAATTGGTTCACAGTTAATTTCCGTGTTTATTAGGTATTGCACAGAGATATTTGACTATTTGTCGCTGTCTGCGATCATAGACGGTCGAATATTCTGCGTGCACGGTGGCCTTAGCCCTTCCATTCAGACCCTGGACCAAATTCGTACCATTGACCGCAAACAAGAGGTCCCTCATGATGGACCCATGTGTGATCTTCTTTGGAGTGACCCCGAAGGTAATTCTTAATCTATTCATAATAACAATTTAATAAATCAAAAAATTGGCTTAACAGTTTCATTATTTTTGTGTACCTTTTTGATATAAGATTGCATGTACACTTGACTAAAATTCTCCTCAACAATCTCGTCTAAGACAAGTAGTAGAAAAAAATATATTAGATACTTCACATACCAGTTTGAAGCTAAGCCATCAATCCATTTACAGAAACTGCTCTATAGTCAGAGGAATTATAAACCAGAATTTTACCTCATTCCCAAGCTATGCTCCACTAGATAGATTGTCAGCGCATTCACTTGCAATTTTGGAGTTATGACTATATTTCAACTATTTATTCAATACAAATACAAACTATATATTATTATCATCAGCCTATTAATGTCCCCACTGCTGCGGCACAGGTCTTTCCTATGAATGGAATATGGACCACGCGGGCCCAGCGTCGATTTGTGGCTGCTAACGAGTGCAGATGGGGCCGGTGCTCCGGAAGGCATGTTAAGCCGGGATCGACGGCTTAACATGCCTTCCGAAACACGTAAACAGGAGCCCGAGATAACAAGTTTTTGGTCACCCATCCAATGACCGACTATTATGAAAGTTGCTTTACTTCCACGATCAAAGGTCGAACGCGCTTACCACCTGCACCATCGAGCTCCTAAAAGCTATACATACTAATTTTCCATTGTTTTATTAGATACGCAAGGTTGGGGAGTGTCGCCTCGAGGGGCGGGTTATCTCTTCGGTTCTGACGTCGTAGCTCAATTCAACGTATCCAACGACATTGACATGATATGCCGCGCCCACCAGCTCGTCATGGAGGGATACAAGTGGCACTTCAACGAGACTGTGCTCACTGTGTGGTCGGCGCCCAATTATTGCTATAGGTATTTATTTAATCTTTGAACACCAATTATCCTAGCCCGCGAAGTATTCAACGTATCTAACGACATTGACATGATATGCCGCGCCCACCAGCTCGTCATGGAAGGATACAAGTGGCACTTCAACGAGACTGTACTCACTGTGTGGTCGGCACCCAACTATTGCTGTAGATATTTAGCCTTTTAACACCAATTATCCTGGCCCCGAAAGGAATTTAACGTATCCAACGATATTGTCATGATAAGCCGCGCCCGCCAGCTCGTCATAGAGGGATACAAGTGACACTTTAACGAGATAGTGCGCACTAATCATTTGCGTCCAAATATTGATATAGGTATTGTTATTTTGCTAACTGTGCGATCCACAGAGGTTATCAATCGTCTGTTTTAAGGTGTCATATGACAACGCAACCATTATTGTTTATGCTGTCAGATTAAAAACGCTATATTTGAAGTAATTCAGTTTCTTTACAGAAAGTTACGACCTATTAACATGCAATTTTGTGTCAAGAGTTTGTATTTCATGGAAAAATAGTTCATAGATAGCTTATATTTATGATCGTAACCGGAATTCTGTTTCATCCACAGATGCGGCAACGTAGCTGCTATATTGGAACTGAATGAAAATCTGCAACGAGAATTCACTATATTTGAAGCGGCACCGCAAGAGTCTAGAGGTGTTCCCTCCAAAAAACCTCAGGCGGACTACTTCTTATAATGTTCCATACAATAGACTGACCAGGCGTCTATTTAGTATTACAGTTTTAAGTAGTGACAAAACATTTCATGTGGAAATAATTTAATTGTGATTTTAAGACTGGTAAGTTGTATCGAGAATGTGTTTACTGTACCTTATGATGTTTTAGTTGTACAAAGTGGGTGTTTTGCTTCGCACAGGTAACGGGTGTTTTAGTTTTATGTAAAATTTCAGGATAAAATCGCATTTTGCTCAGTACTTCTTTCTTAATGACAGGTTTTGTAATTTTAACAAAGCATTTTGTATAATGCACTAAAGATGTACAACCTGTTGAAATTAATTTTATTCGACAGCATTTGTTTAATTCAGTTTTACTGAATTTATGAAACAGATCTCACTGAAATATTTATAATCATTGTAGCTATGTTAAAATCCTGCTAATTAGTATAAGTCTTGTCAACATAGCTACAGCGCTGGGAATTTTGCTGGGCTTCAATAGATTTTATAAACCTGTGTAAAGTATAAATGTCCAAAATCAACCAATGGTCTGTTTCAACAAGATCAACTTTACAATTTAAATTTTTATATTGCAATTTCCAACAGAGATTTGGTTCATATTAAATTTGTATTTGTAAAAGTTTGAACACTGTGACAAATTTAACACCTACATCATTTGAACTATAGTCTGATTTTTAATTCGACTTAATTCTGACATTTCAGAAGTTTTGCCTATAATAAAACATGCCTTTTATCTCTGTGATCTGTGAAAGACTTAAGCGAAATAAAAAAATCATTCTTGAATTTAAAATTTCAAATAACAAAAACTGAGACTTAAACATGGACGTATAAATGGTAATCAGAATTTTTACTATCACGTCTTTGAAGTTACAATAATTAGTACAGATTTTTTTTCTTTCATTGGAATACCTGTCCACTTTCTTCTTTGCTTCTTGTAATAATGTTGACAATGTGTTCGATTATTCCATAAAAGTCGATGAAGATGACGACTATGATGGTTTTTGTGATAAACAGATAATAATACATTAATAAATATTTTGGTTTATATCTTTTTTCCATTTAGCTATTTAAAATTAAATTATTACTTAGCACATTGAATTCACAAAACAAACACTATTTACATTTTATACATTGTCATAGATTACTTGATCTCATTATCTTTCATATTTTTATTTTATATTCAACTAAATATATTCATTAACATAACTTTTTTTATAATAATGACCTTTGTTATAAATAAATTCCACTAAAGTCAACATAGAGATAAAATATGATGATAAGGTTTTTTTTCATCATGACACCAGCAATAAATAACTTTAAAAAACGACAAGACAGAAAAGGTTTAAGATATCTGAAGTGTCAAAAAATTACAGCTGTTAGAATTCCGTCGGATTAAAAATCAGTACTAGTCACACTTTATTGATTGTATTGTTTATGATCTTTTAGTAATAGAATGTTAGTTTTTATAGTAAATAATGGAATATATTGACCAAAATTAATTAAGATTCTAATTAACACATGGACTAAACCATTAGTTATAATTTGTAAACTCATTACAGTCATGTCATAAGTTTAATTTAATATGTTAAGCCATCTACCAATCCCATATTATTAAGTATCTGTTGAACAATGACTGTATAGGGAATCCATTTTGGTGTTTTTGAGACATAGTAGAATCATTTACTTGTGATATATATATTGAACACTGCCCTAGAGATATTTGTATATACATAATTATGAAGATTTGCGGTTACAATTAAATCCAAAATACATTAAATGTATATGTTTCAAATTTTGAAATATGAGATCAAATAACTACAGAATAGTTCTGACATTAGAGAGTTATAGATTTCCCAAATTCTACAATAATTGAAAAAAATATCAACTAACATCAGTGACTTTATCAGATCTCAATTTTTATATCTATTCTTTGTAATAGTTTTTTTTAAAACTTTCTATATTACATGAAGGGCCTAAAATAATAAAAATGCAACATTAAAACAGTACTTACTTACTATTAATTTATAGTTACGATCTGTTTATTTATTTAAAACAAAAAGGGAAGATTCGGCACTCGCAGCTCATCCGCTTAAATTGTGGTACAAGACCACAATTCGATTTAGACACATTGAACTAAATCGAACATTCTAACTCAATAAAACAATATTGCGTATTTCTACGTTATAAAGATAAAATAACGCCTTCGATGCTTTTATAAAGAAAAATAGTTCAAAAACAAATAAATGCCTCGGTGACACTTTTCATTCATAAAACTGTAAAAACATTTTTTTCTCAAAAAACACGGTTTGTCGTGAATGTTATTTACGTAATCGTCATTTTGTTGACAAGGAAAGGACAACAATACCGCTCACCCTTCCGGACTCGGATGCGGACTCGCTGTCTCGCTCGCGCTGCGTTGAAGCGTACAGTTCTGTCTCGCTCGCTCGATTGAATGTTGATATACAGACGTGTGCGTGTGTAAGGTGCTTATGTAGTTGAGTCGGATCACATTTTATTTGATGCCAGTACGAGCGTACTGTATCTTCCCTTTTTATTTTAATCTAAGGTTTATTAAATTAAAGAAGTCTGACAACCAATTTCTTATCACATCCCTGTCATTATTAATGTATATGTCAATATGAATGTAAAGAGTTAAACAGTTTACGGAATTCCGAAAGATATGATGTATAATTTAATAGTGCATTGCATCACTTGTCCATAATATTGCCAGAATCTGGAATTATGTGCGTTTTACAAATAACTTGAGGATTGCCACCAGAGGCAAATGGGAATAAAAATACTGTATGTTTATTCCCAGTCATGGGCATGGCCACCAACGCCAACATACAAGTATTATAAACGTCACTCATAAACGTCAATTAAGTTTTAAATTTTGTTAAAGTTAGTACTGTCACCTTGATTTATGATAACAATAAGAGTAAGACAACACGAAACTTATAAATTTTGTTTGTCGTGTCTGAGTTTGCCCGTTAAGAGGTACTAATCTCCAATAGAGATGCAAATTTCGAGTGCTTTTTGTTCGCGTTCTTTCATAAAAATTCATTTTATATTTGACAGGCTTTGATAGTATATTATATATTGATTCCTTTATCCTTGATGTAAACAAATATGCTGTGTATACGATTCTTTTTTCTAATAATAATTTATTTTGATTTAATAAAAAAATATAGTAGTATTGATAAAATTTTCAACAGATGGGTAAGTTTTAAATGGTTACGCTTTGTTTACATACATGATTAATGTGATTTGAACTGAATATTATGTGGCCCCGTAAGATTCTTGTAATTTAGTTATTTTGATTATAAAAAATGTTTATTAATAAACTGATATTTTCTGAATTTATTTCAATTTCACTTTATAATTTGATACTATTAAATGTACCTAAATAAGATATGTTAAATCTTGTAACAATGTTTAATTAATATCTATATAAAGTTAACAAAAACATAGCATTTTCACGTTAAGTAATGTTCTAATGCTCTTCAGCAGACCTTAATAGTTAAATGCAATGTATAATGCAGGGCACTATGATTGACAATGTTTATGGTAAGAGAGCATTTACCTGGAATAGTTGACCTGAACGTGATTGCAGATGCTTGATTAAATAATGGAGATGCTTTGGGGTGGCTCCTTGTTCTCTTACAAGTAAATGCTGTTGGCTATTAATATGAAAATAAAAACAAATTCTGTATTTCTGACTTTTATATAAATCATACCTTATTAATCAAACGAAATGCAATAATATTATTTCATTTATTAAAAAAATTAAACAACAAAAACAACATTATATACAATAAAACATTATCTATTTTTTATGAGCTATAAAATCAACTTAAATTTTGTAAATTGCATAAACTTGGCAACACATCACCACACTTTGCCGATATCTTTATATGCGCTATGTCGTCCGCTCTAGTTGGTCCTATGTTTAATATTGCAATTTCTTTATTTTCTTCCTTAGCTTGAAGAATAATTCTATAACTAGAGTATACTGTAAGACTGGATCCTAAAACAAAGACTGCGTTGCTTGCACTAACTTGGTCTCTTACTTTTTGCACCCTTTGTTTAGGAACATTATCCCCAAAAAATATGATATCTGGTTTCAAAGGACCTGCACATTTAGGACAAAGTGGTGTTTTGAACTTGTCTACTTGTTCCTAAAATAAATCATGATACATTAGTGATTTTTAGAAATTCATAACATCATTTGTGGCTGCATTAAGCACCAGGGGTCTATATGTGATACTTTTTCCCATTCTGGGATTTTTCATTTCGTAGTTGAAATTAAACAGTAATAGTTATGTTTTTTAAGCATGTAACTGCTTGACGTTTAAATCTAAAGAAAATATAACTAGAATAAATCACGCGGACCAGGCAGCAGACGGGACTCAAACCTGCACCCTTCGCTATCCGGGCGAATGCACTGACCAATTATGCCTAGTCCGCGTGGAATTTTTTCTAGTTATATTTTCTTTAGAATTAAACAGATATGTTATAAAAATTAAGAGTAAATAACCCCTCAGGATAGTAGTAGGATAACTTACTGGGGTTAAATCAACATCTCCATCTGGTCTTATCATAGAAAATGTTTCTTCCATCTCTGGATTATTTTCTATTAGTTTTTGCTGCAGTTCATCACGGGTAATCTCATAAGGACATTTTAGACATTTCACTATATAACCAGTGCCATGAAGCTCAATTATATTCTGTGATCCGGCTTTGTGATGAAGTCTGTCCACATTTTGGGTAACAATTGCAGTAACTTTACCAACCTAAGAAACAATGACAAAGCTTTTTTATATATGGAGCTTCTATTAATGTATTAGTTACATAGTAAAACATTTTCTTGAAATGTGAAAATTACCTGTTCTAATTGTTTAATTGATTTATGAGTGCTATTTGGTTCCACTTTACTGAACTTTGACCATCCCACAAAATTTCGGGCCCAGTATCTTTGTCTCACTTTTGGGTATTTAACAAACTCCTGATACTGTATTGGCTTATGATTACTTCGCGCATAGAGGCCAACTTCCTCGGATCTGTAGTCTGGTATACCTGTTCCATGAAGTTATTATTAATACTGCAACCTGTGCAGTTTAGAATTCAAGCGGGAAGTTTAAAATAATACCTGATTCTGTAGATATACCAGCACCAGTCAATATAAGAATTTTGTTGTTTCTTAATAGAAAGTCTCTGAGCGTTTCAAAATCCTTATGGTCTGGCGGTTTATGTTTAGGTATATATACTATCTGCCGAGAAATTGTATTAATATGAAATGGAATAAAACGTGGAAACATTTCATTGACTAATTAATTTTATTTGATTAATTGATTTCTTCAGTGATGACTCCCTTAGGATTTGGCCAATATCTGGTGTTTGTGTCCAAAGTTACTTGTCTAGGTTTGTTTCGTGAGGGCTTATTTATTGTTTTAACTCTGCTTATGCTGTGGAAGGGCTTTGTGCAAGTACAAGTACCTAGGATTAAGGAAAAAGAATAGGGAAAAGCAGAAAGGAAAGGTTAAGGTATAGTACCTATGTTGAGCTGCCTGAAACAATAAGTAATAAACCTGAGAGATTAGAATACCAGTGAAACTATATCTACAATTTAATATTGTTAGAATCAATATACATACATACACAGAATATCCACAAAATCTGAATAAACTAAGGATAATATAATTACAGGAAGATGGACATGTGACGGAAGCAATGAATATAAGGAATGGCTATTATTGGAGCAATTAAAAAAGATATGATCTGAGGTACCCGCGTCAATACCATACTCGCACAACGAATATTTTGAAATCAAGAATAACATTATATTTTGAAATCCACACTGCTGACCCGACCTGACTATGGGTACGTCCAGAGTGCACTCTGATTCAGATTCAGACAACAAGCGCGAGAAATAAACAGTGTAGTCTAAGCAGGTTGCCTGCTGCCACTATGGCCACCCGGCTTTAACTACACTGTTTATTTCTCGCGCTTGTTTTCGGAGTCTGAATCTGAATCTGATTGCACTCTGACCGTACCCTATGATCAGCTGTAACTTTTGAAGCATCCTAAAAATTAATTAATCGGGCCACTGAGACCCGAGTCTGCAATTCAAGATGTTTTGTTCTGCTGGGGAATTTTTACCTTATCAGAAAGGCCTTTCCCTCACAGGAGAAGAGATATAAGTATGATTAATTTTATTTTAAAAACGAAAATAAAATCGACGAAGAAAACAGGCACAACCTGTCAACCTTTAACTGTCAGTGTCAGCTGTGTTGTTTTTTTCTGTTTCTCTCTGTGAAAAAGTAAAGAATATTAAGCCCATTACAGCCTCATTCAGTGTTGCCAACTACTAGCATTGCTCAGAAGTAGCTAAATCTTCCAGTAAGTAAAAAAGATACTGATGTCCATTCTGGCATGATTCTCTAAAGCTAAACTTAAATTTGACAACAGTGTATCTTTGTCAATCTCTATACAGAATGAAAAGGACAGACTGATGTTAAATTTAGTTTTAAGTTTAGAGAATCCTGCCAGAATTGACACCACTATATCATAAGAAGGGATATGAATACTGACCGTAGACGCATAAAAATCAGATTGAGACTTATTTTAAAAAGAAAAACTTATAAAGTAAAATTATCATACTAATTTTTCCAGTCGAAAAAGTCTGCTTTCATCAAAACGAGTTTTAAATTCACGTACCTGTTGTACCAAACAGGTACGTGAATTTCTACTTTCTAAGTTTTTTGTCCTAGTATGTTTCTTTATGTCAAATAGTTTAAGAACAATTTCCGTAGAACAATCAGTACAAACCTACCTGTCTGTATTTCTGTGCGTATGTTTTTTTTCTCAAGGATTGCATTAAACAAGGGCACAGTGGAAGCACATAACGCAGCGCCACGGAGTACCCCCACTAGAGTCCGCATCACGCAAATTTTGTTTGGAATCAAAATCGCCAAAGTCGGCGGCGTGCAGGGAGATCAGCCGCGTTGTGATTGGACACGTCAAGGTCAGATGATATACTCAGTGCAGCGAAGTGTAAGATCGATTTTAGAAAATATCGATATTTTCTATCGATAAATAAAGGACACCCGGCATTATGTGCCAAAGTTGTATACTTTTTTAATTTTTTATCTGTGTTTCATAATTGGGTAACGTAGTCTGGCAATATTTGTCATCAGCAGCTAGCTGTCAATGTCTTAGCACATTTTGGAAACCTATGAAATAAATAAAACACGTAATGTTACTGTATTTTGATTCTCGCATCAGTCTGTAAGATATCATCTTAAATATCTCTTTAAAGATTTAGCTCGTTACTGTTCTCGTGAAAGGCACATGCGATATACAGACTTAATGAATTTAATATTAATACGGTGACGTCCGTGGCTCTTGACTAAGCACACGCAAAATAACCTAAGTATAACCAAATTATTGATTTTGAAGGAACTTGGTAAATACTTATCGAATTTTATGCTAGCTACCACCCGCGACTTCATCCACGTTAACTTTAGTTTTTTGAAAATCCTAAAGAAACCTGTCATTTTTCCGTTACAAAAAGTATTCTATACAACGATATTTTATACCCTAGATACGACAACATGTACAAAATCGTGGCCGAAACGTGACCAAAAGGTACATTTGACGATTCACAGAGGTCCGTAAGATGATCGCGTGGTCAAAAACAATATAATGCATTATTTAAAAATTGAAAGTCACCTTTAATGCATACGGCATAAGCTCTTAATTAAAACGTATGCATCAAAGATTTATGGCAGTTCAAAATGCAAGTTCCTAAAATTTTACGACTTATTGTTATATGCGAAAGAAAATAGACCTTATTTTTTTTAACTTTTCGCGCTCAATTCTGAATGTGCTGTTAGCAATTATAGCAGGTACAGACCGCGAAGAAAAAAGACAGCTATAGGGCGACGTATAACCGACCATGCTTTTGAGTATCACAAATATGTTATATTAAATCAGTTTATAGTAAGTATTACAATAAAATTTGCTTTAAATGCGTTAAATTCATAATAATAATAAAAACGTTTATTTGGCTCAAATTATATAAATAACTTATTGTATTACATAAAGATGACTATGTACCAAATATAAAAACATTAATTAGATACCTGTCGAAAAAACAACACTTTACGTACTATTAGTATTTTTTTCGCATTTTTACGGAGCTCTGCGGCATTTTGACTTTTCATCGGTCCGCGCGTGACTGTAAACCAAGAAGTGCTTGAATAAAGTTTAAGCACTTCTTGATTGGGACACATTTTGAGCGCTCGTGGTGTATCTAGGGTATTTAATATCGTTAATTCTATGTCTTTATCTAGGTCATAAAGTATGCGCACTTAATTTCAAACAAATCGGTTTAATCGTGTAATAGTAACAAACATCCATACAAATTTCCGGGTTTTAAATTTTAGTACGATATGATTAAAAACTGTTGGTTGTATACTCATGATATCTGTTATTGTATACGATGAAATAAATAGTTTTTATTTATTTTTTCTATTTCCGTAGCTGACAAACTTATCGATAAACTTACGGGTACAGACATGAGCTGCGTCAAGTCACTAGCAATACACGTGCCGGTGTGAGAGCGGAATAGCATATATGATGTAGCGCATGCGAGAAAGGGATAGTGTTAAAAGACATCAACGCGTTCACCAAAAAATAAATACAATTAAAAGCAATTTCATATAAGAGTATTTTTGTCTTTTTGTAATGCATTTAAACTTATCGGTGAAAAGTAATACCATCTTTTTGAAGACTGGAAGTTTTACTCCACTTTCCACATAATTTAATTGCACAGTACGGCATTTTTTCTAGATTTTTAACGCAAAAACGAGAGAAGCACTTCTGCTAACGCTCGGCTTCGGAATGAAACGATGTATAGCGACGTCTGCGGGCGTGCCTCACGCATAGGTAATATACTACTTAAGCTTGGCGTAAGCGCTTGCCCTTGTATGCGGACTCTAGTGGGGGTGCTCCATGCGCAGCGCAGACCCTTAGACGTTTGTTGTGAGAACGAGACAAATGGCCTTTGATGTGACATTCTCACTGTGCCCGGGTTGACCCTAAAGCTGAATTCACGATTTTCCAAAGCCGTGAAGTTCAAAGAATTTTCAGGAACATTCTGTGACAATCGAAAAATAGTTATTTAAAAAGTGGATCTGTCAATTGTTTGTTTTGTATTTTCGAAGTGGCTACTTCCTTCCTCTATTGCTGTGCCATTCCTAGTGCAAATTCCAATAATTTGCTTCGAAGTGAGACTTACAGTGATCTGCTTCAGGAGTGTAATAAAGGAATCCAACAATGGATATTTACGGGTATCACGCCTACCAGTATAACCAGTCAGACGAATTGGCAAAACAGATGTTTGCTCAGCAGGCTTTGACGTCGTCTTTACCATATAATCGTGGAAGTGAGCCCCATTCGATGCCACCACCTACGGGAACACCGTGGAATATGCAAGGGATTGCATGGGGCTTACAATCCCCACCTCAATTAGTGCAGTTCACAGCTCATACTTCAGGTGAAATTAAGATTTCACCAATGATACATTGCAAGAGAAAAAGTCTTGATGTGGAACCTGTGATGTAAGTGAGGAAGAATTTAGATAATTATGAAATAAAAAATACAATACCTTTAGTGAATGAAATATAATATGCTAAGAGTATATGAAATTTGTTAGTTATAACTTGCTTGCTGCTTGTTTACTGATATGTATTCATATATATTCCAGTCCAGCGAAACAGCTAATTACTGAAGAAAAAATGGCAGCACATCTGAGTGGTTTGCATATTTCATCAGATTACACTGGTCATTCTCTTGCTAATGAGGAAGTTATGGATGTTGGAATGACAGAAGTTCAAACAGCGACTCTGTGTGATCGATTAAAAGGACACAAGATTGTATTGTCTGAAGAAATAAAAAAAATTCAAGAAGAACCACTGTTGCCAGCCGCTCTCATTGAAAGGTGTGTAATAGGGAGTGATAGGGAGGGACTGTTGTTGGGTTTACGGGTGGCGGGTTTGGGTGGCTGTGTGGAGCCTTATAGTGTAATGTATTAGTCATTGATTAGAAATGTATATGGATATATGTATAATTGTTTTCTTTGTTGATATTGTCTCGCTTCATTCCGGCATTTGTAGATCCCCTTTGCCATCAGGCGCTGGTTGTAAATTAGCACTGCTGTAGTATCGCAAAAGCGTTTACAGTGCATAGCTGAGGCAGCGTCCTATTGGGCAGCGGCCTTAATTCAATGGGTTAGTGAATGGGGTTAGAGTGTGCAACATGCGAGTAATACTCTGGTCTGGCAAGTGTCTACGGGGCCTATGGTGGAAGTTTATCTGCAGCAGGGCCATGTTTATTTGCCACCAGTTCTACATTTAAAAATGTGGATTTCAAGGTGTTGGTTTAAATGGAATTTTTGGTTGGTATTTAAAAAATGGTTTTATTTGACAGGCTAGAAAAACCACAAATGTCTCTTGTTGTATGGAAGCCCAGGGAGAATATTCTGGAAAAAATTAAAGAAAATGAAGAGGAGAAGGAACCAAAAACAGAGAATGGTGATATGAATGAGATGGAGACAAACAAACAGAGAAATGGCTTGCTTGTGGCAGTGCAAAGTGGCATGGACATAGAAATGTGATTTATGTAAGTGACAATAAAGTACTGTTGAAGGTAAGATTTCTGTCAACTGTTACAAAATATACAAATCTAATAAAAATATGGAACTGTTGGTAATTTAACATTTTTGTAATGTGAATGCACAACAGAGCCCCGAGCATGAAATTGATAGCTCCGTAATCCTAGCGTATTGTCAAAGTGTCTATGAAATCTAAGCTGCGCCCCTAATGGATGTAAGAACAAACTGGTTCCTACCATAGAAATATGACAATGATGATATGATAATGTAGCAAATTCGTGCTTAGGCATCAGGACTTTTGCAAAGTGTCACAAACCAAGCTAAATATTCCGCTGCATCAAGATTCCAGCTTTGTTTATTAAAAGTAGTTTTTTTCTGTGTATGTATCTAAAGCATCTGGATTATAAGTAATAATTTTACTCCAGTATTTGTTGGGTAAAACAATACATAAAAAAACATACTTTGCTCTGCTTGTTATTTGAATCTATGTAGATTAACTTTAGAATAAAATTAATCACAGTAAGGTTTGTAGGAAGTTTTTTGACAGTGTAGTTTGTAATAAATATTAATCTTCACAGTGAGATATTTTGATTAATAATTATTTAGTTTTGTTCTTATTTCTCACTCTAAATAAATCTTTATTCTGAAGAACTTCCTCCTGCTATTTTGATCAACCAAATCAACATAATTGTGGTTACTGATAACTGTTTAATGTTCAACTGTATAATTAAATAAACTTGGCTTTCTAACAAAAGGGGTTTTATGGATTAAAGACATAGTATTATCATGACCTATAAAATCATTATTTTAACTTCTCTGTATTATGGTACAGTCAGTCAGTGTTATGTTCTAATTTGGGACTAGACTTGAGGGAGGATGCTAGACTTGGCACTGAATTAGACAGGACATTTTGTGCCTTAAAGTCTTGCAGTATCTTCTTTTTTCTTGTTGTATAGTAAATAACTATGAATTAGCGACTGTGTTTAATAGTTTATGATATAACAAGAATTCGATTTTATTAGGTGACTGGACCTCTGAAATTTCAAAAATTGGATTTGATATCAAAATTTAAATTAGGATTTTTTTTTTGAACATAAAATAATCAATGTTTGAGTGACCCTTTAGATCGCAGATCGCGATGGAGATTTACTGTGTATGGGCCGCCTATGATAGAAAACTATCAAACACAATAGAACTGCCAGAAAGTTTGGAACATCATTATTTGGCAGGGACAATAACAGAAATGCTGGCATCCCAGTTCTGATTTGTATACTAGATTGTAGTCATAGTCATAGCATTGTAATTGTTAATAGTGTAAGTCTGATGATGTATGTAGAGAGGTATGATAAAATAGTGTTTTGGTAAAATTAAGACTGTTTGCTTTTATACTATACAAATTATTAATTATAATTAATAAATAACATAATGCGATTATTGGTTTTGTTTTTTTAAGATACCTATAATGTCGCAGATCTAAGTTCCATTTCAAAATCTTTACTTAGATCTGACTAAAATATGGAAGGAAAAGAAGGTGATGGTAGGTGAAGGTAGACAGGAGATGAATGAGTTATTAGTAATTTAATTGAAACAGTTAATTGACCCTTTGACTCTTAATTTTCAAAATCAGTGGACGAAAACACATTCCAAAAACACATAAAAATAACTAAAAATATTTTTGATACCCACTGCTATTTTCGATGGATGGCGGTGAAGAACGAAAGGTGACAATCCCCCTTTTCACACGTGGGAACGAAAAAATATTTTATTTTACTAACGCACGTGCCAACGGAACCTGTTGGTCGACAGGTCAATAAACAGTGATATAGTAAGCCCCGACCGTCTATGTATATTATAAAGAGTGATACATAGATATTTATAGAGCCGCAACACCCATAATAGCCAATATTTATCGCTTATGCATTAATGAAACTGATAATATTTTAGTTAAAGTATTGATAATGAATAAGCCTTTGACCAATAGTTTATTAATCTGCACAAGATTGATTGTAATTTAAACGTATTTACTTCGAAGTACTAGTTACAGTAGTAAAAAAATGGAGCGAAATTATAATTTTACATGATTTTTGAAAATTACGGATTGATAACGTCCACGTTTATAAATATACAAGGCCTCTACTCTTAAAGTCACCTTGATAACATAGCTTTGAAGGTATTTTGCTAGAAGCCATATGTTTTCTTCAAAACGGTATTAAAAAACCGAATTGCACGAAATGAGAGAATGCCCCTTTAATCATGTTCAGGGATGGACTCAATAAAATCTTCTGGTACCTTTCCCGCCTCCCATAACTTTCTAACATAAAAATCTTGAATAAGATTTACTAGAAAAAAATTCACGCGGAGCAGGTAGCAGACGGGATTCGAACCCACACCGTTATTTAGACTTCAACGCTTTTTTATTTAAACATCCAGCAGTTTAATGCTTAAAAAATAAAAATATAACTATAAAAATCTTAAGAAAATATAACTAGAAAAAAATCCACGCGGACCAGGTAGCAGACGGGATTCGAACCCGCACCCTTCGCAATCCGGAATAATGCACTGACCAATTATGCTACCACGGCCCTGATGGCCGCGTCGAAATTCTTCTAGCCATTCTTAAGCTGCAAGGCAGCTCCATCTCTTCGCATTATAGGGTTCTTAATGATATCTTCTTCTTAGTCGCTATCTTCATTGCTAAAGGTCGTGTCTCACTTGAAATGTTGATCACCTGATGTACTATGCCTCTCCACGCATTCCTGTCCTCGGCAGTCTTTATAGCCTTGGTTATTGATAGGCCAGTGAGCGACTTTACTAGGTCTGACCAGCGGGTAGGCGACCGACCGCGTGATCTTCTCCCGTCGACCTGGCCAACCACCATCAGCTTCTCTAGGCTGTCAGGGTTTCTGCGAGCGATGTGTCCGAAAAACTTAAGTATGCGCTGGTAACAGTGGACAACCTTGTGGTGATGCCGAGTTCCTCAAGTATGGACACGTTGGTCCGCCGCGCAGTCCATGGAATCCTTAGCATCCGCCTCCAACACTGCATCTCGAAAGCGTCGATCCTTGCCCTTTCGCTCTGTCTTATCGTCTAGGATTTAGCGCCATAAAAGAAAATCGAGAAGACCGACGTGCGCACCAGCCTCACTTTGGTTTTGCGGGATATGTTTCGGTCTTTCCATATCCTAGTGAGTTTAGTCATCGCTGCTTTGGACATTTGGATTCTTCTAGATATCTCTCCCTCGCTGCCACCCACGCTGCTGAGAAGAGAGCCCAGGTATACGAAATGGTCAACAAATTCCAGGTCTCGGAGTTCATTGGAGCGAATTAGTGTACCAAGTCTGTCTACCACCAACACCTTGGTTTACGCCTTGTTAATGGTGAGGCCAACCAATTCAATCTCTCTTTCCACTCTAGAAATGAGTTCAGCCATTTCTTGCGCGGACGTTGTGATCAGTGTGGTGTCATCTGCATATCGCAGGTTACTATTTTTTCTGCCACCAATGGACACTCCATCTTCCCAACCATCCAAAGCTCGTCTCATAATATAATCCCCATAGATGCTGAAGATGATCGGCGACAGTATACACTCCTGTCTAACACCTTTCTGCGGTTTAAAGGGTTTTGGCAGAGCATTGTTCACCTTAACTACTGTGCTTCCATCCCGACAAAGGTTTACGATGAGAATAACGAGGTGCTTTGGTACTCCCATTTCTGTTAGAATGTCAATGATAGATGTTCTTAATGATATAACAATAAATAATTAAATAATGTGGTAACTGTGGGTTACCTACAATGCGAAGAGATGGCGCTGCCTTGCAGCTTAAGGCTAGGAAAATTTCGACGCGGCGAATAGGGCCGTGGTAGCATAATGGTCAGTGCATCCGCCCGGATTGCGAAGGGTGCGGGTTCGAGTCCCGTCCGCTGCCTGGTCCGCGTGGTTTTTTTTTTTCTATTAAACTTTTCTTTAGATTTAAACATCTAGCAGTTAAATGCTTAAAAATAAATAAAAACATAATTTAATTTACTTAATCTTTTAAAGATTCCGGGAAATAGCCGGTGTTTTTATGATAAAAATTATTATTATTATTATTATATTTCAGCGGTCTGATAAAAGGGGATAATTTCACGTCTGATAGCTTTTGTATGTATGGTCACGTTAGGTACCTTAGTACAATAGTTATCTAACAGAGTTAAGTTTTTAAATTAAAGAAAACTTACAGGGAGAATTTTATTTATTGTAATAGTAAGTACATTCTAGATTATCGAATTACAATACTGATTCATTGCATTTTAACATTTATTTTGTTATGATTTTATTTATTTTGTTGTTAATTTTGTGGAAGTCATGTTACAGTCATACACATCAATCAAGAATCTCTGTATTGGCCATTTGACGTCTGATGACAGCTCATTAGGATTGCGCCCTACGAAACTAATAAAATACATCAAGAAAGACCATAGACAAAAAAGAAAAAAGCGAAGATATTCCTTGTAACATTTTCCCCCAATCGACTCTACTTAAATGCGAAACTTCTTGAGTTGTGTGGCTTCCACCTATAGCGATCCTATCAGCCTGGGAAAACCTGCGCCCCAGCTGTGGGGAAGTGCCCCATAGCAGTCTTTAGTGGGGACATTGAGGCGGTGATGGGTATAAACACGCAGGTTATGACAATTTTATTATTAAGTTAGGTACCAAATTCTTGTCCTTATTTGTAATTATAGAGTCCTCCCATAAGGACACCTGAAAAAGTCGTTCAAATAGTAGGTATCTGTTAAACAATAACAAAATAATATACAGTTCTTTAAATCAGTTTCTAAAAGTATTATTTTCAAGGAAGAATGTTTCAAAAATAACTAGGAAATAACGGATTGGACATTCGAAAACTGTAAATGTAAACATTTCTTTTGGACAGTTTAGAAATGATTATAAGGCAGTAGGTAATAGAAAAAAAATGAGGGTACCTTCGTAATAACAGAAAGTACCTACAGTCAGAAAACGCACGCACCTACAGAAAAACTAAGTACTACTACTACCTGCTCAGATCAAATACTTTTTTATTTGATCTGAGCCTATCTATGGATTTAAGTTAACCATTGATGGATTTCATTAAACTTTAAAATAAGATAAATATTCGTTTTTATAAAGATTCGCTTCTACCTATTACAGTCTTCAACATTGTATTTTTTATAAGCCAAATAAAACAAAATAAGGTACAGTGCATTTTATACATTAATATTTTAATACTGTTCTAACCTCATTAAGGATAATGAATTATTGTCAAACGTTTTACAAACAATAACTAATTTATGTAGTATTGTGCTTCAAAAATATATTTTTAAGTAGTAATGCAAAAAATATTATGTAAATTACAGAGAACGTTTGAAGTTATTTTTGCACTTCCACAAAGAGTATCTAAAGGACATAAAAAAAAATGAAACATCGTTTACTAATATGATAGTCCGTCACAGTTTGTAATAATTCTCTATGAAAATTGCCCGCGACTTCCTCTGCGTGGAAAAATTGGTTTTGTTTACAAACTTCAACCCCACAATGGATGATTTATGGAATAAAAAGTATCCTATGTCCTTATATATACCAAAATTACAAAAAAAACTGCGATAAAAGGTACCCTTTTAAAGACTCTAATTCCAAAGGACATTTTTCATAGCCATGCAAAATTACAACGTAAACCAACAGAAATAACATGAGAAAACTAATATTGAATAATAAATACGTAGATATTAGGAAATTAAAATCACAAAAGTAAGCACCACCAATCACACTCACACAAGAGTCATAACTACATACACTTGGGTTTAAGTACATAGTTTTATCCTACAGACTAAACACATTATTATACAGAACATTTACTGAATGATGGACATTGCAAACGCCCTTGGCGTGCTTTTACACGGCATAGGGAAACAAAAATTTACTTATTGTAAGCACCTTTCTTTCAACATCACATATATGAAAGATAGATACCAAGGTTTCTATCTAATTATACTTTGGATATGATATAAACGGATGCGTATTTTTTTTACACGAATTAGAATCAACTCTTACATTCATTGCTAGCAGACAACTTAAACTCATTACCTTCATAATTAATCTAGAACCATAATTAGTGTATGGAACAATTATATTTAATATTTACATTGTCTTTATATAATAATATCATTAATAAGTATTTTAAAAAACAATATTTCGTAATAAGCTATCACAAGTTCACTTATTTTGAATCTACTCTACTTGGTCATTCGTTTTCGTACGTTACGCGTTTTTATCACGCCGAAGTGTCAAATTACTATGGATTCTGACAGTGATACGCGATATAAAACGTGATAAAATATAAAAAGTGGTGCTCATGCTCCGGGGACAGAAAACACTATTTAATTTTAAGTCTTGTGCGCAATTGTGTGCGTTCAATTCTGTCATCAGTGGTGTATTTAGCCTGGGGTCAAGGGGCCATGGCCTGGGGCGGCAGAAGCCATAAAAGTCATTCGTTGCTGACCTATAATTTGATTTAATTTATTCTAGGGGGCAAGCAAATGCATTTTTAGGTCACCGTAAGTGGTATAGGTTGCCTAATATTTTTTACTTGTTCTACGCTAATTTCATTCTGATTTCATGACTTACATCTTTGATGTCTTAACAATAATTTTATCTACCCTACCACACTTAATTTTATTGAGCCCGAACTAAAACTTTTGGTTATTGTTTAGAAAAATCAACTTGTCATTGCGCATTAGCAATTGGAGATCTAGCGATATTCGAGGTTGGTAAAAATATGGAATTTGGCACCATAAAAACGCATAATATTAGTAGTCTTTAAATCACGTATTTAGTCGTGGGCGTATTGAGTACCTACCCACTTTAATATTATGATCTCATCATCACGAGGCGAGGTCATTATCTGAGCTATGTTATATTTTTTCGGTGTGAAAATTTCATAATGGCAATCGTAAAATCTATTACCTTCTACCTACTCTGGTGGATGAAAATTTCGACAAAAAATCTTGTTACACTTATATTCAAATCAATATAGGTCGTAAGTACTAATTTATAAGTAATTGTAGTCTTCAAGGAATCTTTCAGTGGAATAAAAACTCCAGAAAACGACACATACTAGGCATATAACTATGATTTCCCAAACTTCATCTCAAATTATTCCGTTCAGAGTTGTATCATTCACACAAAACATTTTTTTTTCGCATTTACAATTCATTTAGATTTAAAGATTTTTTTTTCAATAAAGCAAGCTTAAAAGAGTTCAGGCGGATTTTGGACCATTAACCAATGATATATCGTTTTGCCTTTGCCATGAAAAATACACAACTTATCGTAAAGTAATCAGATCCACAATCGAGATCGTTTTTCTTATATTTCTTCGAGTAAGTACTTATATCGTTTTCAGATCTTTCTCGAGAAACGCTCGTATCCGCGTAAAACTCCCAACATTTTTATATCTCAGCATTCGACCTGCTTTTCGGAGAAAGCTTGGTGCGCTTTCCGAAGCTTCAAATTCATTGCAGCAAGATCGGCAATGCACCGATGGACACTTTTAATCATTTTCAGAACATGTTGACTTTGACGGTCGCCGTGTCTAGGTCCCGTTTCATGCTTTCCAACTGCTCGATGTCTTGAACGGAAGTCTCGCATTTCTGCACCACCAGAGAGTGGTAGAAATGTATCGCGAACGCCACGAAAACTATTAACACTGAAAAAAAAAACATTCGGTTTGAGATTAAGATTATCTGCCTTCAATAAGATATTGACAAGCTTAGTATTTTTAAATAAAGTGGGCCTGATTCTGCTCTTAAAAATTCAACATTTAAAATAATAATCTCATTTGCATTAATCGATTAAACGTGTTATGGAAATAAGAAAGTACTGTAAAATTTTGTCCTAGATTCAGTGTTCGATTAGTTAAAATTTCAGTCTTTTCGGTTTGAAATTCAGATGGCCCAGACCCAGCCTGGCGCGAGAACATTATAAAGCGGTCATGCACACTCAACCTTATGCCGCTAAGAATATTCCCAGGGATGAAAGAAGAGAATGAATAAAATATTTAAAGTAAATGTGTACTAGGAATAACTTATACTAAGAATAGTAACTTGTAATTTTAATAAATAAATTTTCTATATATATATTGAAGTGAAAAAAAAACTAGGAATGTTCTATATTTTACGTCAGTGAAGAACAAACATTTTACCTGGTATAACAATGACGGTTGCTGCAGTGGCGGCAGCGAAGGAATAGTCCCAAAACTTCACCCAACATAGTATCGCTATCTCAACCAGGAACAGAAATAGACCTGTGAAAATAAAACGTTTCGAATTAAATTAACATTATGCGTTTCAAAATGTAGGTACTAATTTAAAGTCAATGATTTAATGAGGATAATAACTAGCGATCCCTCCCAATGAAATGCTGGTGCAATTTTCTAATGAAATACAAAGAAATGGGATTGTTTGTAGTATAAAAAACACAATTTCATTTTGGATTTTTTTGGTGCTTTTCTCAAAAATATTTTTTCATACAATCCTGGCTCTCATACAAATACAACAAAAATCAATCAACGAAATCTTTCTAGGCTGGGGTTCGAGTCACATATGATGTTTGCTTTTTATATAATTGTAATAGGTATGTTTTGTGATTGGTGGATTTGGTACATGATATTAAAATAATTTCAAAAAGATCCACATTTAATTAGCATGTTATGACTTAAAATAAAACCTAAGCACAAGCTTACCTAAAACAGTACTAAACGCCCACGCGAGCTCTATGAATCCCCTCATTCTTTCGTGTGGGGAGTCCCTCAAGGCTCTCGTTGGGCCCCCTGGTGTTTCCATCTTGCTGACCGCATCAATATTAGGCAATAAGTATGTGGAGATCATCAAGGCGAAAATGTGTACGGCAACCAATACCGTAGTGCACACAGCGAACATCACGAATAACCATTCGGGGACATTCGTCGGTTCGTTGATTTGTAGTTCCACCATTGCAACCATAGCGAAACCTGAAAAAATGCAGTGTAAAATAATAAGCAGACTGGTTAGCTTTCAGATACTGTTTGGTGAAAGTATGATACGAGCAAGGTAAGAATTCAAACTATTATACTATTCAGGTGACAGGAAAACTTGCCCTATTCCTTGAAAGGGGTTATACTAGAGGTCATTAGCAATATATTAAGTCCAGTGAACTAGGGGTCAAAATTGGGTGGTTACCGAGTTGTGACGGTTCTAGATGTTTTAGATTTTTTCATTACAAACCATTCATAAAGAATAAACTACTCCACTTTAAACATTGAATTGATACTTTTCTGAAAGCTGAAAAAAATAACCTCTTTCAAGGAATAGGTCGAGTTTTCCTGTCACCCTGTAGAGAGAGAAAAATAAATAGGAGGTAACTTTATAATTTTCAACAAACTTGCTTGAAGAACTGTTAGTACTAGCGAATATATTTCACTGCACCGCCATTACTAGACATCCCGCTTGAGAGGCACATCGCCTGCGTCTCCTCGTGTTTTTCAGTGGTAGATCAGCGTTATTAACACCACTTTGTTGCGTTCTAAGAAACTTAGCAGATAGCAGCTCTGACGTGGTGGCAGTCGCCTTGAGCTTGGCATGGGACATGTGCAGATGCCGCCACGACAGTCCGTCCGACGGGCCTGTTGCCTTCGTCTCCTCGTTCCATTCGAGCGATACTGGCATTGTTAGCGCTACTTTGTTGTGTTCTAACAAACTTACCAGAAAGCAGCGCTGATATGGTGGCGGTCGCATTGAGCTTGGCGTCGGACAAGTGCAATGAGGGCTATCGCGTATGAATCCGCCGCTAGAGGCGCTAGTGTAGCGTGAGGTCTCCGAAATGTCAAATGATATTGCTTGTTGGTTGACTACGCGGGTTTATTTCTAATTAAAATAATGTTGTCAATAATTGGTAACAATTCGGCTTAATTATGGCAAATATGAGTTATGTGGCAATGAATGTCAGTTATTAAAAATTTGAGCTTAGAAAGATGATTATGTTCCCATTTTTTCCGAATAAAACGGAACTGCGCGTCACTGTGGCATGGCCTATTATGTTTAGGATATGGTTCTTTTGTGTTAAAATACGATCTAAATGTAACCTTTGATTTCATCTGCGTATTAATAAACTTTAAAAGTTACAATTTAGGACCTCACTCAACAGTGGCGCCATCTGGTGAGGCAGAAAACGGTAGCCCTCATTGCGTAGACGCCGCCACGGCAGCCCATCCGACAGGCCTGTTGCCTGGGTCTCCTCATTCCATCCGGGCGGCATTGGCATTTTTAGCGCCACTTTGCTTGCGTTCTAACAAACTTACCAGACAGCAGCTTTGGCGTGGTGGCGGTCGCCTTGAGTCTGGCGCGGGACATGTGCAGATGCCGCCACGACAGCCCGTCCGATGGGGCTGTCGCCTGCGTCTCCTCGTTTATCCGGGCTACACTGGCATTGTTTAGCGCCACTTTGCTTGCGTTCTAACAAACTTACCAGATAGCAGCTTTGGCGTGGTGGCGGTCGCCTTGAGTCTGGCGCGGGACATGTGCAGATGCCGCCACGACAGCCCGTCCGATAGGGCTGTCGCCTGCGTCTCCTCGTTTATCCGGGCTACACTGGCATTGTTAGCGCCACTTTGCTTGCGTTCTAACAAACTTACCAGACAGCAGCTCAGACGTGGTGGCGGTGGCCTTGAGCTTGGCACGGGACATGTGCAGACGCCGCCACGACAGCCCGTCGGACGGGCCTGTCGCCTGCGTCTCTTCGTTCCATCCGGGCGGCACTGGCATTGTTAACGCCACCTCGCTTGCGCTCTACGATTGGAAATAAACATTCAAGTGTCTATGATGTACCCATTATTAAAAAAGACTTGGACTAGAGCGAACTTTATGTTTAACTTAATTATTACAAATGCCCTTTATGATAAATACTCTTTATTGTACACAATTAAAATAGATACAATACATAAAAAACCGGCCAAGTGCGAGTCGGACTCGCGCACCGAGGGTTCCGTACAAACCTCTAGGTATATTTTAATAATTATTAAAAAAAAATATATTATAGGATGTAACTAAGAATTTACGGTTTTCGCAATTTTTCCTTTATCTGTACTATAAGACGTTACTTCGTACCAAATTTCAAGATTCTAAGTTCACGGGATTCAGGTTCCGTGTAGGTTTTGATTCCCGTGCGAGTTTCGAAAATTTGCGACATAAACGGCTGTATCTTTTGATTGCTTTGGCTTAGAAGTTTGATTTTTTCGCAGCTCCAAGGGACAGTACTCCTGAGTATTATATATGAATTTCAGTTTGATACCTCTACGTGTTCCTGAGAAAAACGGTCTTGACAGACGGATGGACGGACGGACAGACGGACAACAAAGTGATTCTATAAGGGTTCCGTTTTTTCCTTTTTAGGTACGGAACCCTAAAAATGTGAGTAAAAGATTAAAGTGATCTTTTCCAGCTAACCAAGGTTTAATTAGGGACAGATGTAAGTAAGTCATAAGTTGAACATAAACAAAACATTCATATTATGTGAAAATAATTGTATGTACCACCTGCATCTGGAGCACACAGGTATTATATCAAGCATCAATTTAAAGTAGATAAGCTATTAAAGCAATAAAGTTGTATGGAGGTCCCCTTGGGTATTAATGACAATTAAATTTGGAATACCAAAATGGAAACAAAAACTTCTATCAAATACTTAACTTCGAAAAAAAAACAAGTCTATAATTCAGCTACATTCAGGAATTAACTAAAGAATCCTTTATTTCGCTCCGAATTCAGTAACCTGTGCTTTATGCTATGCTCTTGGTGTTTAATCTACTATTATTCATAGGGTTCCATTTGTCATCTTTTGGTTACAGAACCCTAACCTTTTAGGGTTAATGGCCGAAAATTAAATCTGCATTTGAATTTCAAAAGTTAATTATATTTTTATGTTATAAGCATTTAACTGCTAGATGTTTAAATCTAAAAACAATTTTACTATAAAAAAAATCCACGCGGCCTAGGAAGCAGACGGGACTGCGAACATTCACCAATGAACGCATAATCGGTCAGTGCATCCACCCGGATAGCGAATATTTCTACCGGATTTTTTCTAGTACTTATTTTTTTTCTAAAGTTTAAATTTTTAATGTTCTATTCTGACCTTTATCGACTGGCTGCATTGGCAGGGTGTGTGCAGGTATCCGGGGCTCAGCAGCACCGTGGCTCCGGAACGGTTAGACGCCATCCCGTTCGGCGTGGCGCATCCGTTCGGGCTGCTCCCGCCTTTCGCATACGCGTACTCGAGGCTATGCGGCGGAGTCACCGATATCGTGGGGCTGTCTGTCACGCTCACTTTAAACCTGCGGGGTTAAACAAAAATCTCAATACCTTATTTTTTTTTTATAGCTATAGGTAGGTACAAAATTACTCTTTCCCCTGAAATGCTTCTTCAATCTTCACGATTCACGGGAAGAAGGGAACACATGCGCTTGTAAAGAATTCCAATTGCGAATAATAGTACTACAAAGAAACGAGTCACCTTTCTTTTTTTCGTGTAAACCTGTCGTGTAGAAATGTAGGAATAATTATTTATTTTTACATGAGTTAAGATAAAAGGAAATTTTCTTCCTCCTGCAAAAATTACTGTTTTTTTTTATTCACTTATTAATAATGTACCCTCCCCCCCCCCCCACCCACTGCTTGGGCGCAGACTTTTCCTATGGATGTAATAGGGAAAACAGGCTGGGCCATCAAGCCAGCACAAAAGTAAGCAGAAGTACGAAATGGTGCCATACTATACTAACGACTGTAGATACAGCCGGGATCAACGGCTGAGGCACCTCGCGCACTAGACGGCCACGACCACGGCCAGTGGCCACAACGAGCAGATTAACTAAAGTTTTACTGTCTTTCAGTTTCCATCGCGCACTAGGTTTGCGGCCTAGAGAACTGAAAGACGGTTAAACGGAAAGAAACTACACGAATAGTTTCTTTAGTTAATCAGGTCGTTGCGGTCACTGGCCGTGGTCGTGGTCGTCTAGTGAGGAAGGTGCCTTAGTGTGCCTTTCGAAGCACGGAGGAGTTCGAGATATTTTTAACGTTAGCCTTAATTTTATTAAAGTATGTATTTAGGATATACTGTACTTCCAGGGCCCAAAAGTAAAAACTTCACAGTTTTGAGGGTTGTAATTTCGCATTTTTGTTGTTAAAAAGGTTTCTGTTAACCACATTATTAAAAAAATGTCACACTTATGCACTGGTAGTTTTTTAGAAAAAAATATTGAAATTTTTTACTTTTCTTATCAAGTGGTGATACTTCACACTAGGTTAGGTTAGGTTAGTGTTGTGACCATAACGCGCGAGCCGAGCGAGCAAAGCGAGCAGCGGCCGGCGAAGCGCCAGAAAAAAAAAATCTGTTAAAAAGACCTTTTCTACAAAAAAAAACAAGTATCTCCTTTTGGGCCCTGGATGTACAGTTTTACCTGTATTTATTTACTATTTGAATAATTTGATATTTTATTTCATTCAATTAACGTTAAATGGAAAACTCACTATTTCTACTAACCTGGATATAAAGCCTTAAATCACCCACATTTTTATTTAGCTTTTTATCTCTAATTAGGTAGCAAAATTCAGGTTCATTTAAAACACTATTCAGTTCACTATTACAAAGTTATTATTAAATATTTTATTTTTCAATAGTGAAAGGACTTTCTTACATTCAATTTAAAACTGACTGTCAAGTCAATATAGTGAAAACACCAAACATTTTTTTGTGTATGTAAGTATACCCGCAGAATATATGTTAAACATGATTCGACTACCTTCTATTTTTAACGAGTGTAGATAAATAATCTTTGACAAGATATTTTAATGACAGTATATAAATTGACATTGTAATAATATATTTAACTAAAATTGGTTAATAATAATTGAATTTATATAACTAACCAAAAAAAAACTAAATGTCTTTGTTAAAACTAGAATTGACTAATGCTCAAAATGGAATATCAGTTAAAACCAGTTCTTACTAGACAACACGCATTTTTCCGAAGCTAGTCAGTTAAAACTGTTCTCAATAACCACACCACCTGAATAACCTACAACAGATGTTCAAAATATTTACAGATCAGATTATGGATCCCATTGGGCACAGCAAATAAGAATTATTATTATAATAATGCAAATTTCTAACAAAAGCAATATGAAACATTAATAAAAAAAGGAACAATTTGGGATAAGGCTTAATGATTTTATACAATACATTTAAAATTAGATGTATCCTTTTTTTCTAATAACATAATTAATTTAATTTAATAACATACATTTCAATAAATAAACATTTTAAATTTCAAAAATTAAGTACATGTAATACATACAAGTGACGATATGACTCTGTGTCCTAGATCTTTTTAATACATATTTTTATTAGGCTTGCTGAAAATATATCGATGTTTCGATATATCGATATTTTTTGTTCAATATATCGATATTTTTAGCCGATATATTTTGATTCGATATATCGATACATCGATACAAAATAACCAATATCGAAATTCGTATCAAAAACGATATTTTTTTTTAATTATTAGCGGCATATCACGATCTAACTAAATTCGTATCTGGAAAAATCGTAACTGAAGCTCAGATTAATGATATTCAACATATCTATGATTTGTGCTGTATTTAGTATTTTCTATGATTTGTAAATCTGTTTCGCTGGTGAATGGGTTGTGCTGAATTCAATTATATTCTGTGGAAGTGTGTGACTGTCTAGTGTTCTTTACGAAAGATACCACGTAAGGAGGCCCTGCAATAATTTTCATCATTCGAAAATAGGGTCTATTTTTAGGGAGATAATTTTCGTTCCATTATTATTCCGCGTGTCATCTTTCGTGAGATATTGTACTGTCATGTAGTGTAGCGGCAATTTGATACTTTGATAATTCTTTCTTTAATTATAATTTGTATTGTTATTATTGCTGACCTAAATATATTTTTGGGAAAATTGGTCCGATATATCGATATATCGATGTTTTTTTCGCGATATATCGAAGCCGATATTGATATTTTTTAAAATATCGATGTATCGATATATCGATATTTCTTTCAACTTTCGACATCCCTAATTTTTATAGCTACATCTTGTTTTTTTAATCTCAAATTAGTTTATCTAGTGCTCGTTTTAACTAAAGCGACAACTAATTTTATCTAAAAGTCAATTCAGTCAGTGGTAAATTCTAGTTTTCACTAGTTATTTCTAGTTTTAACAAAGACATTTAGTAAAAACTAATTTTAACTAGGGAAAACGCGTTCTATCTGAGAACGGGTTATAACTGTAACATATATAATGTAATACGATATGGAAATAAAGCACTTTTATTTGTATTTGTATTTTATATTCTTAGAATAATATAATTCTAATTTGGTAAACGAAAAATCTAGTAAGTTATTATGAGACTATACTCAATTAAAATCATTCTCTTTCCTGTGATCCAAATCTACTGTATCAATGTCACAAACATTGAAAACGGTGAAAGCGACAAGAAACATAGAATGTGCCAGCTGTTAACTTTTCTTTGCAGATATACTATGTGTATATTTATATGAAAGATTTGTAAAATAATTATGGTTGATTTATGAATTCATCAATTTAACATACATAATAATAATATTTCATTGCATTGATCATTTTAAATATTACTTCACTCAGTTTGATTTCGTAACTAGCTTTCGTTGACCACATATACGTTTTTGGCGATAGTGTCTTTTCCTGTTTTCGCACGTATTGAAAATTTTTCTAACATGCGTCGTTTACTATTCTATTACTTCTCAAGAGTAAATCCAATTTCCCAAAGTAAGTAGATTCTAGATTTCGTGATTAGTCTGTTACGTACAATTCATTGCAAAATTTTAAAACATAGGTCGTACGTTTACTATTCTATTACTACCTAAGTGCAAGTATAATTTCCCAAAGTAAGTGTTTCAAGATTTCATGATTAGTCCGTTTCGTAAAAGGTTTTGCAAACAGTGCCGACTTTGACCTATTGGAGGCCCTGGGCATATTAGGATAATGGGGTCCCTATGACTTCCGTTTGATGATTTAACAGGAAGTAGGGACTTTGTATTTGATCTGAGGGGGCCCCCCTATCGATCGCGGGGCCCTGTGCCCACTGGGAAAGACTTTTTGATTTTATACTAATGCGTGGTCGTACGACAGTGTTGTGCTGTCGCGAACATTTTTCGTTTTCTCGACGAGTCGGGCCAAGCAATAGTAACATTGCAGAACACGATCAGAAATGTGACCAAGGGCCGTATTATGAACGCTTAACGCTAGGCAAAAACAGCGGTGGGATGTCGCTCTACTTTATTTTATAGTCATAATTTTTATATCATTAACATTTGTAATGGAAAATGACTTCATGAGTTATCTCATATTGAAGACATTTTTCAATTTGGCGACTCTGTATATAATACAGGGAGAAAATAACAGCCCTTGCCGACTTTCTTACCGGTTCTTCTCAGTACAACGTCTCCCGCCGTAGATTTGCGAACTGATGGCGTAGCTTTTCGACATTCACAAGTGCTTGTAACAGCCTAGACTGAATAAAAGTTGAATTTTACTGTGCGTGTGCGTTCGTTCGTCGTGCGTGCGTTGATGTCTCGCTCTAAAAATGGAACTTGCCTGGTGTTAAGAGTAGATAATACGGCTTCAGGGCCGGATTTAGATGTGTGGAGGGCCTGGGGCAACGAAGGAGTTGAGGCCCGTAAATCTGGGCCCCGCTACTTACGGTATGCACTCTCACCGCCCTGGTTTGTCAACTGTCGGCATTTGTCTCTGCTCTGGGGGACCTGGGCCACAGGCCCTCCTGCCCTGCCTTAAATTCGGCCCTGAATGTCGAATGCCTGATAGATGCGTCGCATCGTGAGAAAAGAATATAAGAAAGATGGAACTACAAGGCATAAGTAAACTTATTAACTGTGTCTGTATGTTAGCGTGTTGTTATAATGGACCAATAACACCCAACATTCACTGTTTATGGCTTAGTACACGTAAAGGCAATCAACTCGCTTCAATAAAATGACCAGTGCACGTTTCATTGTCAAGATCAATGAGTGTTTATTCAACGATGTTGACACGTAATCATCACCGGCTACATATATCGTCATCAATATTATCATTTTGTTTTTATTTAAAACCACGTTCGTGATTATTACCTAATTACCTAGGTATTCATGCTTGCGTCAGGTACCGTTACACATACCTAATTAATAATTATTTACTATCTATTGAGCTAGCAAAGGTTATTTGGTCACTTTCTGTGATAGGTACTATTGAAAGTTGATCAGTTTGCGTTTG